ACTTTTGCATGATGGCAGGCGGTTGCAGTACAAGCGCGCTTACATTGAAATGTTTGTTTATTAAATGAGGCTGCTTCCCCTTAAATATCTAGTATTCTACAGTTAGATGTCAGTGTATCCTAGACCTAACTGGTTCTTGTTTGGAAAGCTATTGGTGGCTTGCTTCTACTGTCCTAATTCCAGACATAGTAAATACGACAGGTCAGTAATGGAAAGCTGTTTTCTACAAACTCATTATCTAAAAAGCATTGTAGCTAATTCTCTATTTTAAATAGACATAATTTTTAACACAGGCTAGTGGCTTAGAGGCGTGCCAAGTCAGTCATCTTTATTGATGTCTGTCTGCCTTTCATTTTCTGATTGGTCAATTTTTGGTCTGTAGTCTGTCTATTATTGATTGTCTATCGCCTACCTGTCCTTAGCGTAGGCTTATATAAGGTCAAGCGAACCAACCTGGTGTGTTGAAATTTAACTATAAATGGGTAGAAGAGTATTATGTAGAAAAATGATGTTTTCTGCTATTGGTTAAATTTAGTTTTCTCATAAAGTTATTATTCTCATAGATTTAAAGGTTTGGAAATTTTTCTTTTTCATACTGGAGATTTTCCGGAGGTGAATGATTAAGATTACTGTTATTGAAGACAGCGATATTTGTGTTGCAGTACATCTGTCAGGACTAGTGCACTTTGTTTTCTAATTTTTCATTAGTGCTCACTGGTGAATTTAGAAAAATTATTATCAATAATCCTTCAGAAGCTTCCTTATTAAACTCTACGATGACTAAAGATATCGGCATTCGGTGTTTGTTAGGTTATAGACTCAAGCTAAGGTGCTTAAAAATAAGCAATATCCACCTTGAATCTTGGAGGTGCTATCGCTTGTACGTTTCAACGTACATTTTCAGTGCTAATCGAAATAAGTTTGTAGCTACGTGAACGTATCAATGCATTCACGATACCGAATCCAGGTTCCTACTGTAATTTGTTCTCCTTTTGAATGTGAACCAGCTTCTCACCATTTTCAATTAATTTATTTGCTAGTTGAATTTTCCGAACAACCTATCGCAAAATAACTCGTGGCCCTGACAACAAACCAAACAGTATGTAGTAGTAGACAGCTTCTTTAACCTCAGTAGATGGGAAGAGGCTGGAAATTGTTACACACTCTTTGAAAGTGGAGTACACTTACTGATAAAATACAGGTTCAGTTAAATTATTTCGCAAACTTAAATTTATATATGTGTAAAACTTATGAATTGGAAAATCAGGAAGGGGAGCTCCCAATGTTAGATTGCAACGTAAAAAGGAAAGAAGATGGGAAGTTAAACACTAGTGTTTACAGGAAACCCACACACTCAAACAGATATTTGGACTTCCGACCGTCCCATCCTATGTCAGTAAAAATAGGATTGGTGAAATGTTCAAATGACAGCACAAAAACTAAGTAGTACCAAAGAAAATCTAAAACAGGAACTGATACACATAAAAGAAGCCTTGAAACTTAATAATTACCCGGATAAATTAGTCAGGAAAATATGTAAGGAAATGTAAAAATAAAATAAGTAATGATAGTAGCGATAGTGATAATAACAAAAATAATGATAATAATAATAGTGATAATAATAATAAAAATAATATTAATGACGACACCAACAATAAAGAATCTAAATCATCAGTAGTAATTCCATACAAGGAAGGAACCTCGGAAGCCTTACGCAGAATTCTTAACAAGGCAGGAATAAAAACGGCATTCAAACCCACAAACTCAATTAGAAACAAGCTTTGTCGGTTAAAGGATCCTGTAGAGCCTTTAAAACAAAACAATTTAGTTTATCTAATACCCTGCAATGATTGTCAGGTCAAATATATAGGTCAAACTAGTAGAACAGGGTCAGTCAGACTAGCTGAACATAAAAACTTAGCAAAATCTAGATTGGTTGATCCAAATAAGATAAGAAATCTAGAGAAAAGTTCAGCTATAGCACTACATGCAGTTACACACAACCATGCAATAGAATGGGATAGGATGACAGTTTTAAAATCTAATGTCACAGGGTATAGGGAGAGATTGATGACAGAAGCTTTGTTTATCGAATCAACTGCAAACACGTGTAATAGGAATGATCCAACACCTGTCCACTCAGACAACTGGAAAATTCTACTACCCCTACGACGACGAATAGGTAAGAACAAAGAAAACTTTAAAACTCAAGTTTCGAAGTCGTGTGATTACAATTGATATGATTATGAACAATAAATTTTGTTCGAAACGTCATTCAGTAAATAATACTGTTTCACTGTGTGATATATCTAATAAACAAACTAATATGGAAACTTAAATTTGATTTTTTCAACATCTTAACTCTTGTTAGCTGTGGTCGGCCTTATGAATGATAGATGGATGCATACGAGATTCGAGTGAATTAATCTAATCAATTCTATGTTGAGTCTCAGGGTGTCAGATTGTTAAAGTATGAGAAGAGAAGAGATATTTCAAAATAAGTAAACAGACAGATGAAACAAGAAACGGAAATTCAATGTAGTTCTCGTCACCAATCAATAGCAGTTAGAGAGATTACTGGAAACCAAGGGGCACTGGACAGCTGTTTTGTCACTGGTTGGGGACTCTTCAGCAGTCCTTTAGACCATGAGACCTAGATCGCTGACGGTTCAGCTGCTTGGGCGTAGGAATTCGATGGCCCGTGAGTTCGTGATATAGCGCTACCTTCGATTAGCTGTTATGTGCTTCCTAGTTTTCAGTGTCCTCTAACTGATATTGATTTGTGATGAAATCTACATTGAAATTAATCCATATCTCTACAAAAATCCTTAGTCTAAAGAAATGGGATTTTGAAGAATAGAGGACTTAACTACTTTCTGGTAGTCACGATTGAGTGACGTTACCTGTGGTTTTTTGTCATTGGTTCCTAGCATCTCGAATTTTCAGCTAAGATAACCGACAGTCGGAGATTTAGTTTAACCACTCTTACATCATTTAACAGCCTAATCTTACATAATATAACGGCTTATTATGATATTCCAACCGTTAAATGAAGCTACTACTAGTAATATGTATTATTTCAACTTCTTTATCTGTCTTCTTATCCTTCACTTGATTTGCGAATTTGAAGCATGACAACTTGAGTTAATATTTAGCAGCGCTGTAGATTTTACGTTTTTGTTATCTGTTCCTCTTGGGTGACTAATTTTCCTGTGTCAAATTTTTTTTAACTTAACCTCAACTTTGGAAGATTATTAGCTGTACAAAGCAGGCGAATTAACAAAAGCAACTGATAAATTACCTCTTTCCTTTCATATCAGAAAACATTCAAGATTTGCAAAGCTGAGTGATTGTAATATAGGAACTATGTGTAGTTAGTACAATTAGTTCATAAAAAGGTGTCGTTGTGATCCTAAGGTTGTAGCACTGTAGCATATGAAATAACGAGTTTTTGCTCGATACTGTTGAACTTTTAAGGATTCCTAACGTCCGTTGTATCGATTGATTTACTGCCACAATATAGAAATATGTGAGGTACTACTTGTTTAAGCATCTCGAGACTGCTGGTGATATGGCTTAAAGTTGTTCTCAATGGCAAAGCTGCATTCGTTCTTTCTAATCTTTCAACTCCATTAAATCGTCATTATTTTTCATGTACTCCATTACATTCCAGTTCATTACAGTTTCTTTAAATTAGTATTTCTCGCTACCTTTGTGTGCTGTGTCGAGTATGGAATCTTGTACTGTCTCACTCCTGTGTTAAGTTCACTGTTGAGAACTCAGTCAGTTAGTCAGCTTCTTGCTTTCACAGTGTAAAATATTTCCCATTTTTTGGTTCCTTCATGTCTCAGTCTATTTGTCCTCATCACAATATGTTACAGTCATTGGTCCACATGAACAGACCGTTATTCATGAATAAACGGTCATTGAGTGGGAGATTTTGTATTTGAACCCTCAGGTCATTAAACATCAAATTACGGTCGTTGACAGAGATTCATTCATCAAAAATACAACATAGGCTTCGAGTCGTAGATAGTTTAAACAAATAATTCTATGTAAATAATATGACTTCTTTGAAGTTCCTAATTGATCTGTAGTTACGTTGCAGAATCCTCCCAATAAACAAAACCATCAGCAACAACCTGGTGAAGGAGTAACTTAGCATGAAGAGCCAATAACTGATCATTTTTGAACTGGGAAGTGTTAAAGAATAAAAATTCCTCCTGAATGTTGCTCATAGAGCTCATTTAAAAATATATCGCTTTTGAACTAAGCCTATTGCTTGCAGGAAACAGAAATGCACAAGTTTTAAACACAGGCCGCCAAATTCTTTTTTCTAATGTAATCGTCGTATTGTTTGAGTTGTACAACGTCACTGCTTATAAGGATGACACTGCACTGTATTTTTCCAGGTTGTCGTAAATCTGTCAATGGTAGTAACCTGTTTTCTTAACTCCAATGATTTTTATCAGTTGAAAGATATCCTTATCGACTATGAGAACAAAAATAAAAAAAAACGATGGCACTCTGAGACATTGATTAATTATGAAACATGGTTGAAATAGAGGATATTACTTATAAATGTTTCAAAGTGTGGCTGATTGAAGTGATACATCTTTGTTTTATGTTCTAAGTTGACATATCTTTCCCTAAAACTAGTACAGTGTGGCATAAGTGAAAGACTAGGCGATTCGTTTACTGTTCATCGCTGTCTACGAAACACTTTAAATTGCTATGTCAGTTTCTCCATGGATGATTTAACAGGGTTTTTGACCGGTTACAAATTGAAATGTTAACTGTTGAATAGGGTTACTGACTTTTAGGATTTCTGGCAAAGATTAAAGAGTTATGAAGAATTAGTGATGTAATCTGTGCATTTCATCTACCCATTTAATCCGTACGGTTCCTGATACTGCTGCTGTTTATTTTCTTTGCGTATGTTTTATACTATTTCTCAATGTTAAAACGTGATTTTGTGCGTACTCGTTTTTCATCTGCAGCTAATAACACAAAAGAAACTAATGACAGTGGCTTAACATCTGAAGTTTCTTCAATCAGCTACCCAGCAGGAACATTATTTTCTCCTATGAATACAATGACTGCTGTGATGTCTACCGGTACTGGTATGGGTGGGTGTGGCGCACTTTTGGTTCCTCTTGTGACTGGAAGTCATGGTACGACTCTCTTATCATCTAATATGACTCCCGTTTCATCCCAACTCTCTATGGTACCTGACTCCTCTGTTTTGGTAAACACGAATACCACCCCTATGACAAGCACATCAGTTAATTTTATCCCTTCTAGCAGTGGATCTGTTTCCAATACTAATTCCTCAGTTCACAGCAGCAATTCAAAATTAGATACCAAAATCCCGACCTCCAGTTCAGAGCCAAATGGTCAGTTACGGGTAAGTATCTTTATTTTAAAGAGTTAACTAGTGGCTTAGTTTTTCCATTATTGATTTCTTTGTTTGTTACTCTGAACACTTATGTGATATTTAATCTTTTTTTCCCAAGGGTTCTAAGGAGGTTATTGAAATGAAACCAGAACCCCTTGACTGTTATGGAAGAGTGACCACAGGTACAACAGAAGATCTTATGACTTCAGGAACTCAAAATGAAATGACAACAATTAGTTTTCCCCAATTAACTTCAATCGCATCTTTTGCCCAACCGTCTACTGCAATGACTATGAGCGGGTCTGTTTCTACGCCGTCAGTTCAAGCTTCACGACTTAGCGGAATAACGACCACAAATTCTTCAGATGGAAACAACACTGCATCATCTGACGCTCCTCCGAATTCAACTTCTAAAGGATCTGCTGGTTCTGGACCTTATCGTTGTAGAGAGTGTGATAAGGAATTTCGAATATTACGTTATCTAGAAAAGCACAGACGTATACACACTGGTGAGAAACCATATCAGTGTTGCTATTGTGGTCGACAGTTCAACGACTGGCCAAATATGAATAGACACAAACGGATTCACACAGGTTAGCTGCATGGAACATACGTTTATTGTATTTCAAATAAGCTTTCCATTTCTCAAAACCATGAGTGCTGACTTGAAATGTCTTCAGTGAATTAAGCCTTTGGCTCTTGACTTGTAAATGATGTAGTTGTCGAGGTATGGTTCATTGGTTTAGGCACTTGATTTTAACCAACGTGTCCCTGTCTCGAGCCACACTCCACCTACTTCAGCCTGAAAAGCAGTATTTTCAGTCCCTACACACTGAGTATGTCTCACAACCTTGGCCTTTTTCGGGTAAATCGAGTCCTAACTTACCAATTGATTTAGTCATAATACTATTGGAAAGAAGTTATGGGTTTTAATAATTTGCTATGAAGGTGCACTGCGAACCCCCTAAGTAAATGAACTCTTTGTATTTATAATCAATTCCATGTACAAAGTTGCAACAGTACTGAACCTATTCGTTGGTTTAGTATTTTAAGAAGACGAAATGATATATGTGGTCTTGGTGTCATTACATTCTCTGAGCTAGGTGGTTTAACTGATTAACCTTGATTTTCTAAATAACATCTTCAACGCAAAATGCAATATAAAGTGAACTTATCTGAGTTCTCGATGAATGACATAATTATGTCTTCTGACAGCTGTTGTGATTAGTTGTTAATTTGCATTCGTATTGATCGTTTCTATTAACTTGGGATTTGACTTTTGTGTCATGTGCCTTATTCTTTATTACTTCATAAATTTGGTCTATAATGCTGTGTCTGTTGATCGCTGATTCGTCCGAGTATCAGGCTTCTAGGAATTCTTTGTCATTCATGGTGTTTCCACTTTTTAAAATTTTTGCATTTACGCAATCAAATTAGTGCCCATAATTTTGGTAATATGACAATGCACTGATATGTGAAAGAACACGTGTCGTATCTTTTCACAGCTAGTTTATGTTCTTGGTTTCAGAGTCAAAGAGCATGCCCATGTTGACTAATATGATGTTTATCACAGCTTATGCAATTTATTTTGCAGATGGTATTGATTTTGCCTTCTTTTGCTTGTTGAGTGTTTTGGTCTACATAGTAGTACTGAATGCAGCGATTGTGTTTATTAGGAAAATAAATGCCAGTATAAAATAAATTACCCTGAGACCATTAGTTTTGCAAAGAAATGAAACGACTACGTTGTCTCATTATAATTTAATTTATTCAACTAATATCTCATTTAAAATTATTTTATCTGACTCTTCACATTTTAGACGTATTTTTTATCTCTACAGTTTAGGGAAAATCTCGCCTTTTGAGAGAGTTTAAGAGGCAGCCGCTACATTTTGTCTCTTTCAGACAACAGGTGTTTTGGATAAATGAAAACCTTTGGTGATTGAATTCGTCATGCTCCGAAGTGTTAAAGATGGTGTACACTGGAGACGCTGGTTATTGTTGTATTGTCTGTGTTGTTAAATCTGTGCTACTGTTTGTTTGCTTAAATGTGTTGGCAATAAGTGTTGAAAACATTTTGAAGTTGTGTGGGTGAGTTAGTATTTGGTTTTCTGTTTAATCATTCTATTTCTGTTGTTTAGAAACTTAGTTAAACAGTAAATTTGTATCAATTTACTTTTTAACTTATTTAGGTGAAAGACCTTATCGTTGTACCGTATGCACAAAGACATTTTCACAACCTGCAGTTTACAATGAACATGTAAAGCGACATACTGGTGAACGACCTTATATATGCACAGTATGCGCAAAAGGATTCCCTCGAGCTGCTCGTCTTGCTGTTCATATGCGTGTGCACACAGGTGAACGACCTTATCCATGCACTTCTTGTGACAGAAGATTCAGTCAACCTCATCATCTGGCTGCTCATCTGTAAGTTAGTACTTATGATAATTGCAAATTATATTTCAACTTTATATCACTCCTAATGAAATAATGGGATTTGTTTTATCGTCCAGTGTATTAATACTTGGATTTAAATTAGTTTTTGTGTTTAGTGTAGGTAAGATAGTGCCATAAAGGCGTGGTGTTCTGCTTCATTAGTATAAATGTAAAACTTTTAACCTCTGGGTCATGTGTTCGAGTTCTGCTTCAGCTACTCAACTTTGAATAGCCAGAAAGTATTCCAGTTCTTCACAACGGATGAGATTTCCAACCGTATAATGAAGGCTAGGGTGGCATACACCAACTTGAGCCACCTCTGGCGCCGTCGCGACGTTAGCCTGGCTGTCAAAGGTCGGGTATACAATGCTTCGGTGCGGGCTGTCTTGCTCTACGCCTGTGAAACCTGGCCTCTCCGAGCTGAGGATGTGCGGCGACTCCGCGTGTTCGATCATCGCTGTCTCCACAGGATTGCTTGCGTTCGATGGTATCATCGCGTGAGTAATTCTGAGGTTCGGTGGCGTGTGTTTGAACACAGTGGAGATCACCATTCATTGAGTGTCGTCATCTGGGAACACCAGCTCCGGTGCTGCGAATGTCATCCCAGAGGCTTCCGTACAGGTCTCTGTTCGCTAGCCAGCCCTGGGACGGGATGGAAAAGGCGGAGGGGTGGTCAGTCCATGACGTGGCGTCGTGGGATGAAGGATATTTGTGCTAGATTAGCATCGGTTGGTGTGTCACGACTCCCTGGTTGGGGTCCGTGAGATAGCTCGAACCGATGGCTCGAAACGTTATCGGATATGGCCAAGAATCGTAATCAATGACGAACGTGTTGCAATTTCCTTCTTTCTTCCCTTCCTGATGATAGTTAACGAATACTGTTTGAACTTGTTAAACATGACTGTTTTCCTTCCTGATGAAGTTCTTTACCCGTTTTCTACCTATATTTTTACTTTTAATCTATGTTGTTTTATTATTATTGTGTGGCGCATCTTTCTTGGTGCCATATTGTACCAAGTTTTTCTGCGTTTAAATAAAAATAATAAATAAATAAATAAATAAATAAATAAATAAATAAATACAATGATCCGAATCCGAGATGTATAGAGTGACCATACTGTTATATTCTCACTTCATCTTTGAAAAATTTACTGCGGGAAAATTCTTTGTTTTCAGCCATTCTGTATATTTACAAGGTTACACTCCTATTTTCATATGACTATAAGAACCTTTTTACTTCTTACTAATGACCAGAGCATTGAGTCGAGGATGAAGATGATCTCGGAATTCGATATTTAAAGTTTCAACACCAGGCTACTTGACTTCATTAGTACATTTTTAGGATGAAATAACGAATAGGTCTTTCACAATTAAATATCAAACCTTGGTAAAAGTTATACATAGCATACATTGCACTGATTAAGGCACTCTACTCGTACTCATGCAACCAGGTGAGGGCTTTTACGGCGAGTTGTCATCTGAAGTGGTGACGACTAGTGGCGTCCGTCAAGGATGCCCATTATCCCCATTTCTATTCAACTTCATCGTAGATGTACTCACTTCAGAGACTCAGGGATTGACTTCCTACCAGGGAATAATCTCGTTGACTTAGAATATGCAGACGATAGAGTCCTTCTAGGCGAAGACGCTGACAAAATGCAGAGTCTACTGAACACCTTGAGCAACAATCTTCGTATGTTTGGCATGCGATTCGCCCCTGTAAAATGTAAGATGATGCTGCAGGATTGGACTACACCGACTCCTAGATTAGAAATAGGAAGTGAAGTGGTAGAGAGCGTTGACCACTTCACTTACTTGGGAAGTACCATCAGCCTCAACGGGTTGATCTCTGACGAAATCTCAGCACGAATACAGAGGGCTAGTTTCGCATATGCCAGTTTACGCCATCTATGGCGTAGACGTGATATCTGACTATCGACCAAAGGGCGTGTGTACTGCTCATCAGTCCGCTCCGTCCTCCTTTATGGCTGTGAGACCTGGCCATTGAGAGCGAAAGACACGAAAAGATTAGCTGTCTTTGATCATAGGTGTCTGCGTTCTATCTCCCGTGTGAAGTGGTATAATAGAGTGAGCAATACTGAGGTTAGGCGTCGAGTGCTAGGTAAGGAGGGGAAATCAATCAACGAGGCTGTGAAATTACATCGACTGAGATGGTTAGGACATGTGTTACGTATGCCTAGTCATCGCCTTCCTCAACGGGCAATTGTAGCTGACATAGGGACAGGCTGGAAAAGAGCTAGCAGTGGTCAAACGAAAACATGGCTTGACCAGTCAATGAAATCTACATCAGTTAGTCTAAGCCACGTGGGAAGGTGTAGACTTCCTGGTTGGGGTCCTCGGGACAGTAAAAACCAATGGTTGGAAACAATTGGTGACATGGCTCAAAATCGTTCTCAATGGCTAGTGCAGATGCATCCACTCCTTGTGACTTATGGTTTCCAATTAAACTGTTTTGTTCTTCGTTATTACTACTTCTTTGTCTCACACCTCTGTTTACTGTCTATATTATGCATTTCTTCTACTTTCTTCTCTTGCTTTGTGTGCTACATGGAGTGTGGCGACTTGAACTGCCGCACATATGTGCAAAGTTCTATGTCGAATACCGACCGACCGACCGGTAAAAGTTATCAAAGAGGTGTTGTCCCACACTTTAAGGCTAGTATCTATAATATTTTAAAACTGAGATCATGCATTGTCATGTTTATTGTTATTGGGTGTTGTATAAGTGAGCTGTGGAGCTCACTAGAGGTTAATTTGTGTGATTGGGATAATGTGGAAATTTTAAACAGTGGGAACATCGAAAGTGTCAGTGAATTTCTAGAAGCCTGTAACTCAAGTGAATCAGCGATTAACAAACATATTAGTATAGACCAAATTTACCAGCTAATAAAGAGTAAATCACATGACAAGAAAGCTTAAATTCCATGTCAATAAAAATGATAAACAACAACCAGTCACGACAATGCTTACCAGAAGACACAATTATATCATTCATGGAGAATTCAAATGAGTTCATTTTATACCAAAACCTTCTCTGAAGATGTCTAAAAAGACGACGAAAGCTTCTCAATTAAATCAACCAGATCAGAGAAAACAACTCATTCCATATGTGTGTTGGGCATACAAATGTTTTTAGTATCAGTGGGAATCTCTTCCTAATTATCTAACTATCTGATTCAAAAGATGCACCTAACTGACGAAATTATGTTTGCAGGTCTCTGATTCTCACTACATTTTACAAGTAGAAAAACAGTGTGTTTAGGACTCCGGAAAGATAACAGTAATTTGTAAGAATTTATTTTTGTAATTTTAATGAGTTATTTTTTTTTTATGAATTATCTTTTAGTCGCGTTCACAGCGGTGATAGACCATACTCTTGCCCAAAGTGTGATGTAAGTTTCGCATGCATATCCAACTTACGTCGTCATCGGAAACAGGTACATCCTACTAGTCCTGTTCCATCTGAAAATGCAAATGGCAATGACGTGAAAAGCGGTAATGAAGATAAAAAGCCATCCCTTCAAATTATTACTTCTAGTGTTGCTGATAATATTAGTTCTTCTTCTGTTGTTACTATGGAAACACCATCTTATATGGCTTCATCATCAACTTTGTCAGCTGATACTCCAGTTGCCATTGCTGCTGCTATGTCAGGAACAGTGTTAACAGCGACTGGTGCTTTGGTTCCGGCAAATTTCTTACCTGCATCTTCAATACCTGGCTTGATATTAACATCAGCTGCACCTGGTGGTGCATTAATAGCTGCACCAGCACACTTAACCGAACAGCATTCACATCTTCATCCCACTATTATTGCTCATAACTCAGGTAATTTATTTTTGCATAATTTAGTACTTTATTTTTTAATTTTTGTTGTTTTAGTAATTTGCAAATAGATGGATTGTTTGGCATAAATTTTTTTAACCTTAAGTTCATTCTTTATGAACTTATTATATTAATTTACTAATTAATTCGTTAACTTGGCCACTACCATTAAACTAGATGAACTAGATGATCACACGTTTATTACATAAACAGTTGAATTATATCAGTTGGTAACATTCTTTTACAATAATGTGACACTAATTAATAACGTTCACAATCTGTATGACGTGCTCATAGGGTTATTGGATTGGAAACAGGCGCTTTTTCATCACCAAGTGATATCCATTGATTAAAACTAATTTTTAACTAAAAGAATAAATAAAATCCTCAAAAGCATCAAGTTACAAGAAATTGAATTTTCATTGGATAAAAACATTTCATTTACATAATTGTGACATTCCAACGAAGTGTAGTTATACCTTCGTAATAAATCTTAAAATAACACTATCTACATAGATAATGAAATTAATTTGTAAAGTGCACATCTGTATATGTTTTAAATAAATACTAGTCTTGCGTACTATCTCATTTTTTTTAGATAAAGACAACTTATATTATTCCGCTTCTTAACTGAGGTATTTACAATGCCTTAGTTTTTGTATGAAGTTTATTATTATTTTATTCTTTTGTGTTCCGAATGGGACATAACATGGCTTCGGGATAGAGCTTTGAAGTCTCAGTAGCGGTAGTGTTTTATTACGGGAATGAGTTGTTGTTAGCCAATACTACTGGCTAAGTGCGTCGGCTGTGCGTGGTTAGTTGGCTGGCTGAGCATTCTCCCATTGATCCACCAACGTATCGGGTTCATTTCCTTTTTCGTGTTCAAAAATAAAATCAACCATATCGTGTTAGCTTGATACACGAAAAAGTCAATTGAAAATGTCCTCTGTCATAGTTGAAGAGAAGTAAATATATGAGTTTTTATTCGAATGTAACAGAAATTCTACACATATCTTAGCTTGAATTCATGTATAGGGTCCTCTTCAAGAAAAGTAAAACAATAACTCACATCAACAGTCTTTAATCACCTTTTCCAGACTAGTCTATACACGTTAAATTCTAGGCACATTGAAATGGAGATGTGGCTCATTGGCTTAAGCTTCTAGGTCACTGGTTCGAGTTCCGCTCCACTTACTTCAAACTGGATATCTGGGCAGCAGCATCATCATCAACCCTTTGCACAAATAAGTATGACTTTTACCCCAGTACTTGATAAATCTGTTCTAGGTGATCAAGTTGATTTGTTAAGGCTTTTATTTAACTTGTATTTAAAGATGTAGAGTGTAGTTATTCTTTTATCAAGTCAAAACTACTCCATACTAGATAAGTTCATTTCGTATAAAACAAAATGATACAGTATTAATAACTGGATAACTTTTTTTTCGCTCATAATCATCATCCACTTATTCATAGTGTATCATTGTATGTTATATCATTGTATCATGTATTTATTATGGAATTAAATTCTATCACAAAATTCAAAACTCTGATAATTTATCGAAGATAATTTTCTATAGTTTGGTTTGTAAGGGTTTGTTATGTTTTTACGAGTTGATCACGGACTGATATCAGTTAGAGAACCATTGAAAACCAGGGAGTACTAGTTGGTCCCAGTGGCTGAATGCTATACGAGCTTGCATTGTAACCGGAAGGTCCTGGGTTCGAATCCCAGTGGGTGCGTACTGCCGATGATTCCCAAACTAGGATGAAACAGCAGCTGTCCAGCACTCCCTGGTTTTCAGTGGTTCTCTAACTGATATCAGTCCGTGATCAACTCATAGAAGATAATTTTCGTTATTATAATTTGATCTATTTTGAGTTTGATCATTGAGTTTTGCACATTGCCATTAAAAATGTATTTAGATAAGTATTTCAATCGTATAGATAAACAATGCATTGGGCATGATAACAAATAAAATATGTTTTTACGATATATATGTATATTTCAGGATAGACCACGGATTGATATCAGTTAGAGAACCATTGAAAACCAGGGAGTACTGCACAGCTGTTTTTTTCTTGGTTTTAGATTCATGGGCAGTACGCACCCACTGGGTTTCGAACCTAGGACCTTCCAGTTACAAGGCAAACTCGTACACCACTCATACACTGGGACCCAATTCAATGGCCCATAAATTCTAACTTCTACCAATTCGTGATATTAGCGCGACCACCAATCAACGTCATCGGTGAGAACTTCATCCTCACTCCTTACTGGATGGACCCCACTGGTCATGACTTCTCATTAGAACTCCAGCCAACTTCGTCTTGCAGCCTTTTACTAGCGAGCATTAGACCGGAAGGTCCTGGATCCGAAACCCAGCAGATGCATACTGCCGATAAGTCCCAAACTACGACTAAACAGCTATCCAGTACTACCTGGTTTTCAGTGGTTCTTTAACTGATGTCAATCTGTGGTCTAACCTGAAACAGACAGAATCCCTACAAACTAATTGTCATATATATATATATATATATATATATATATATTGATGAACTGATTGAAGTACCATTTTGAGGTTATTCGATAGTCTTTGATTTCACTATGTTTTATTAAGGTAAGTAATTTTTAACACTTTTTTGATGTACTTGATTGTGAAAATGGTTTAGTACTCTCTGACCTTTGGCATTACTATGCTCAATGGTGAAACTTTCCAGGTAAAATATCAAAGCTCAGATAGCATTAAACATTTTCCGTATTCACCAGCAAAATTTTTCTATTATTTCGTATTCACTTTTGTTTTAGTTTACTTGTGATTTCTCATCTAAATCATATGTATTTACCTGTTACTTTTATCCATTGCTGGTAAGTGCATCAGGCTTTTTACTGAAACTGCTCAAAAAGCTTTTGAATGTGTTCTAACTTTTTTATCTGTTAGTTCTTTTATGAATACAATGAAACTCAATGTCTTTGTTCTCGCTTTACTTCTCAGGTGATGGAAATACTACAGCTCTATTGACAACATCTTTATCTGGTGGTCTTTGTTCTATTGCTCAACCCTCTGCATCAATGTCATCTTCATCGACTGCATTGGGTATTCAGTCAGACACTCTTGTGAAAGCTAGTTCTTCTCCAACAATGTCATTTATGTTTCCAACAGTTCTTACTTCAACTCCACATGGTGATGCACTTAGACAAACGTCAGTTGCTTTTCTTACACCAACAGGTGAAATAGATAGATCATGTACTGCAACTTTAGCTACTGCTGGACCAGATGGGGGATTTATTTTAAATCCTGTTGGTGGAGATACTGTTTACTTGGAACCGGTAGGTTTTTCGTAAAGTCATCCTTTCATTTATTCTGATTGTTAAATGTTAGGTGTCATTTTGCAAGAAATTTCCAACACTCCTGAAATCTAATATTAAGAAGTAGAATGCTGTCAAATATCCAGATCGCTGAGATCCTTGACCTATTACTGGTTTCAGAAGATTAAACTTAATACGTAGAACACTATAACCAACGGGGAACAACAAAAAAGCTGTTGGGCAACGCGAATTCTTCAAGCGATAACGAAACAGATTTACAATGGTTAATTGTTGGTAAAGTCTGTAAATAAACGTTAATATAATATGCAACAATACTTCTGATTGTGTTTCTTCAATCTTCTGCCAACCGGTACACAATTAAGCGATGACATCCTTCTTGTCTCCCGCCAAATGGAGACCAGTTCGAACAAACAGACTATAAAATGTTCACCAACATTAACAAATGCTGCATACAATATTTTCATTTCACTTAGTGGTTACATTTCATACCTAGTCGATATGTTTCGATTCACACACAGGATTGGAAGAATTAATTGGTGACCCCCTAGGTGACTTATTCTTTTACACCCAGTTTAATCAATCGGTTATGGGGGGATCGCTTGTTTATTTACTGTATATTCTTATACTAAACTGGCATGTCATTCTAGCAGATTTAAATCCATGCAGATATGTTTGCATTTGCCTCTTCAATCATCACCTACATTCTGTTGATTACGGTAGGGTGTTTAAAATGGATTATTCTTAGAGTGTACAATGCAGTATATTATAAATCCTTGAAATTTGCGAACAACAAAGTAAATTACTTGAAAGCACCACTCAACATCATCTCTCATACATTATCATCTGTGTAAAGACTTCTAGACTAGTAGACCTTAATAAGATAAGAATTGTAAAAGAAAGTTCAGCTGTAAAACTACGTGCAGTTACCTGCAACCATACAATAAGGTGTGACAAGGTCATGGTCTTAAAATCCAATGTAACTGGGTAGATGGAGAGATTAACCACTAAAACTTCATAAATCGAATCGAATCAACTGTGAATATGTGCAATAAGAATAATTCAATATCTGTTCCAGACATCTGGAAAATTCTACTATCCTAACGACAAATAGGAATTAATAAAGGCAACCATGAAAATCGACTTTCAAAGTTGTGTGGTGTGACAATTGATATGATTATGAACGGTAAACTGTGATTGAGACGTCATCCAATAAATACTACTGTTTCACTGTGTTATATATCCGACAAATAAATAAATATAGAGTTACATATTACTCCAGTGTTCAAGTTCTATGTATATGTTAAAGGGTTGGCGAAATTAGCCTCCAAAGCCTCAGGATGGTCGGGGGTGGGTGCCTTGCGCTGCGGGTTGGCCACCTCTCCGCACACCTCTTGAAATGCTCCCATATGACCGGGCGTCTTACATAGCCTCTCCTGAGGAAGTCCTACTCACTGCCTTCACGTGGCGGAGGTGTTTTTCACCAAAGTGAGAGGGCGAAAGCGGATGCCCGGCGCTCTTCACCGGGTTGACTGTCCATTGGATGACAGTCTAAGGGAGATGGCTAAACCCTGATTCCAAACCTCCAACGACTGGCGTATGAAGCTCACTGGAGCTCACCGGCAGACGTATGGACAAAGGGCTTGTTGGATGTCCTGGATGTCTGGCCCCATTCAAAAAGGCGTATGAACCGAACTCCGGTCACCGGCTGCCAATGGATAGTGGACTCCCTACTCCACTCCTACTGCCTTGTAGGTCACACTTGGTTGTGTAAAGGCTAGAGCTGCACTCTCAAACAAAAGGCCGAGCGATTCTGGGGACATCACTCGTACCAAATTCCCATGAAACTTCATGAACTCTCTTATTCGAGATGTTCATGAAGCCGGCTCATCCTCCCGTAGGAGATAGCTGAAGTAAAGTAAAGTAAGTAAGTTGGCGAAATTAACACTTTCATTTTGTGGTGGCTGATGTAAACCACATAGACTTTGATTAACGTCGAGTGTAAAGCAACATTAATTTTTATCTACAGAAATCAATTAAGTAATCGCATGTCTAACCTTGATAATTGGTACTTTAGAGTTCGTCAGAAATGTGTTGCTTTGCTCAACTGTCATGTTAATAAGTATAATGCAGGTGACATTGACTACACATCATGGTTTTCGAGAAAAAACTTTTGCATTATTCAAATTTATCAAGGGAACTAATTGTGTGAAGTTTCTAAAACAAGGACTGCCTATTGTGCCATTGAAATCACCGAATAATCGAGTGACGACTCGTTGCAAAATAGCATAAGAAATGTGTTGGCTGAAATTTCACGAAAGCCGTTTGAATTCTGTATGTTTTCCACGTCAATTTTTCGAAGAATTGTGGTCACAAAAATTGCCACCAACCTCCAGAAATCTCCGACGTATAACTTAAGTCTCACAGAATCAGGGAAGAATATAATCGAAAAATTAGAAAGAAACGCCATATGGTTTGAAAAGTTTGTAAATAAATTAAGCAATTTATCCTGTCAAATTCACTAATTTCCTACAAGATGCTCAGAAAAAAGAACTAGTCAGATGTTCTCAAAATGCATCTCGAAATCGTTAGTCACGGAACAGATCTACGGAGAATTTCCAGAAAATCTAGATGTGTCTACAATTCAACTAAACCGGTTGCAAAGCGCTCCAAAGAAGATCTTCAGCAGACTTCCAGTTTGGGAATTATTTCATCAGTTCAGTTATCTCCAACCTACTGACGGAGATGAAAAAGGATGGTTAAAATCCGAATTGCCTGATATTACTAACCAGTACTATGTATCTTCAATCTAAAGTCCTCTCTCATTAACATGAATCAATCTTAGGAGAATTAAGAGACGACACAAATATTGTTATTCTTCAACCCGATCAAGGGTTTAGGTGTGATCATGGTGAATACAAAAGATGACATCTCTAAGGTGAGTCAAGTACTGCATGGCACCTCACGAGGATGACAATAAAGATATAACAGAAGACATTGAGAGGTTAATTACAAAGGTGCTTGGGGGACTCCTAAAAATGAAACTGATGGACAATGATACATACAAAGAAGTTACCTCGAAAGGATCCCACTTTTTTGTATTAACAACCAAAAGTACATAAAGATAAGGTGCCAATGCGACCTATGCTGTCTGCTGTCAATCCTCCTCACCACAAACTTTCTCTTTGGTTGGCGCAAAAGTTAGGGAAGTTTCGGGCAAAGTTATCGACTTGTTTGATTTTGTGAAAAGAATAAGACAAATTGATGTATATTCAAAAAAATGTTATGAGCATTACGCTTCAGGAAATAACAAATGCTATCTGTCAATACACAAAGGATAACTCATTAACAAAGGCTGATATCAGACATCTCTTGCTCCTATATGCACCAAAGATGTTCAATTCAAGTTTAAAAGCGTGCTATATGGATAAATGGATGGAGTAGCAATGGGAAGTCCACTGTGCTCCAAAGAAACATCAGGAAACAAAGTCAATCTCATCAATGAATGTCTGAGAAACAATAGATGTATAAAAAGATTCTCAGAGAATTACAGTAAACGTGTGATATAAAGAAGTCAGAGTACAGTACTGTCGAAAAGAAACTAGTATTTGTTATATTAGGAATAAAAGACGCAATATTAAAGACGTATCTAGCCGCCAAGCTGGTCCCCTTGTGTAAAACTATCTGTTTGATTGCACAGTCGAAACTAGACCGACTCTTGTTAACTCCTTAATTCTTCATTGATGATTAAGCAGTTTGGTAAGTATATGGGGGGGGGGGGCTACTGCCTTCTGATAATTGATATTTTAAGGATCATTCATTAGGAACTTCTTGAAGTATTCCAGAATGATGCTCATATTTCTACTGGTCTTCACTTAACTGTTTGCTTACATTTCGTGCATATGTATTCACCTTATCATTTTATGCACTTCTTATTTCGCATTATGTTGGAGTGTAGCAAATCTTGTGAAATGTTCAATGTTGACTGACCTTTCTTTTTGTAGTATTGTAAATATGAAGCCAAATTAAGCTGGTTAAGTATTACTTTGTAGAATCCGTCTAGTTAAAGACGATTTAAACAGATATCAGAGTATTACAGCTGATTTTCATTTATTTACTAGATTAGTGTGTAGCAGTAGTCTACCATCACAGTAGTAGTAATACAAGGCGTAATCATTGAAAATTGTTAGTCTGTAATATTGTAGAGTTTTGATGATGATGCCGTAGCGTATAAACTGTCATGACTAAAAGTACTGTTAAAAAGCAATAAATGTGACTTATTTAAATTTAGATTTTATTTCACAGCTATCTAAGACTAGTTATTGTACCATTTGTGTAATCGTTTTTGATTTCAGAGTAATGACAGAACTAAACTGTTATAATAGAAAAAAAAATAGTTTTTCTGTATTGCACATATTGTTTCTGTATTTATGACAATTTTTTTTAATATCACGGAGCTTATACATGAGTTGACAAAGAAGACATCACATCACACATCAATTGAAACTGTTTAAATGATGTATGATGGACATTAGAAATGACAGGAATTAGATTTTTGTTTGAGTGCTGTAAGCTCTCTGTAGCTTATTTTGCAATGTTTTTAAGGTATACTTCCTTGTGTATATGTATAAGCTTTTTGTGAAGATGTGATCCCTTGACTTGAAGACTGCATTTTAATCAATGGAGCTTAGTCTAAGTCTTGCTCCTCCTACTTTGACTTGGGCAAACTGGGTAGTATCACCAGTCTTCCCTCAATAAGTTGGTCGTGTAGCATGGTACATAGGAAATTTCTTCCAGCTAATGGAGTTCTAACCAGCTAACTTCCAGACCGTAAATTTCTCATCATAATGAGTTTATTAATGTTTCCTCTTTTTCCAGTTGGATCCCAGGTTAACTCTTGAGCCTGGTCAACAGTTCACACTCACGACAATTCCAACCTCCCATCCACATGGTTCCGCAACTATTATTAATCCGCATCACTCAGCAGCACAATTAATGGGACATCAGGTTCATTTACAGTCGGGGCAAGCAACGCATATTGCTTTTGCTACAAATCTACCGACTCATGGTCAGCAGACGTCACAGCTACTATCTCCTAATTCCGCTATATTCTCATCAAATACAGCATCGAATCAGGCAGCACTTCATAGTGGTCACTCTTCTACAACAGTTATTTTCCCTCCTCCTGCTTCTGTCCCTCATTCAAGTTTAACTAGTCAACAACAATCCGTATTACAGTCTCCTACCGAAGCAACTGCTCCTTCCCAGCTTTTACATTATCATAGACCGGTGTGTACTACAGGCGTTTTACCAGGTCGTCCATCATCTACTCCTACGCAACAGCAGACAGCAATGCTTGTACCAATTGTTCACACTCCTCCTGTTAGTGGAACATCCAGTCAACCGATCTCCACATCAGAAGCAAATGATTCTATAAACTCAAATCCCGTAACATCAACTTGGCCTGTTAGTGGCACATTTCTAACATTTGCCTCTTCACATCTTTGTCCTGTTGCCTCTTCCGCTGTCTTAGAAGATCATACAGATTCTTGTAATCTTGCAAACTCTCGTCCATCCTCTGTCTTGTCTAATTCATCATCTCTCGGTGCTATCACAGCCGTATCAGTACCAGAAACAAGCTTGTAACTTCCTCTCCCCTCTCTGACTTTCGTCAGCCACAGAATCATGTTCATAAACTAATTGCCCCAGTTTTCCTCTGTACTTTTTACTTGAGTTATGATGTTGTTTTCATACTTTGGTACTTTTCTCTTCGTAGTCAAAGTTAAAACACGACAACCATAACATCAGAGAAGCTGCCTGCTTCATTTAACTTATGATCAGCATTGTTTAAGGGGATCCTTCTTGTCATCTGTGTGTTTGTGTTTGTTTGCTTCTTGACTTGTTTTTTGTTCCTTCTTACTTCGATAATCTCATCCTAATGTGTACAAATTTTTCATATTGTCCATGTATGCTTACCTTTGTTTCACGTAATTTAATCGTATCATTACCATTTATTACTTTTATTATTGTTAATAGTTATAATATTACCGATAGTAGTACTGGCAGAAGTATTCTACAGCTTCTGCTATTACTTTATTATGAACACTATTATTGTTATTATTATTATTTCGACCAGTTTATCTGTTTGAGTTCCTCTTTATTTTTTTTCTTATCTCTGTATGTACCAGTTGATTAATATTTGTGATCATTTAATTAATGATGACGAAAGGTGTTGTATATTTGACCTATTTTAATACCTCATAAATTAAAATCACCATCATGACGAATAATATTTATAATATTAATATTATTATTTCTGACTTTGTTTTTTGTATCCTAATATCTAAATGATTATGACGACTGATTTTTTCCTGTTTCCTTGTTTGTTTATATTTATGGACATGTTGAACCATTGTGTTATCTTTATGACGTACAAATATATATAAATATATATATATTGATTTTTGTGATTTCATCATTACAAAAAAATCATGTTGCTTTTAGTGTACACACTAAACTAATAATAATAAATAATAATATATCCATATTTTGTTTTGTTTATTTTTGTCGTTTATTTTGACAGTTATTTTCATTTTTTTTTATTAACTTTATCGTTGTTGTCGTTGTATGTTTTCTTTTTTCCCTCACTCACTCACTCATTCCCTCCTACCCTTTCTCGCTCTCTCTCTATTGTTTCATTAAACGACAGAAATATAATCATGTGTAACTTCCATACTCTTTCTCTTTTATATATATTTATACTCATAAACACTTACTTTTCTTACTCAATGAACACGTGTACAGTCTGTTTTCTTTCTTTTTTTTTTCTCAAGAAACATTTTCATTGGGAAGGATTACTGCAACAATTGCAATTACTATTACATATTTTTTTTTGATTTCTATTGTTAGTTTCATTAAATGTTATTTTATATTTGGAAAATGTTATTTTATGTTTCGATATATATATATATATATATATATATATATATATATATATATATGGTGTATATGTTTAGGTTTCCTGCTAAGTATTCAGTGTCCTCCTTTGTTTATACGTAAATATATATATACCTATTTGTTATTTGACTACTACTGAATACTACCTATGTACACGATAAAATCTGAACTCTCATTTTTCAATTCTTTCATCATTGATTGATTAATCACCTTATAGCTAGTAAGTTTGATGTTTTCAGAGAAATGTGTATAAAAATGAAAGATAAGAGAGATGGTCACAAGGTGGTGGTGGTGGTGGTGGTAGTCAGCTGTGAAATTGTTAACTTCTGAGCTAACACTAACAGTGGTAATAAATGAAATTTTTAAGAGTTGAGATATGGGATCGCCCATATCAGGATTAATAGCTGAAGCCGTTATGCAAAGATTAGAATTAATAGCTCTACCTATAATTAAACCGAAGACCTGGATACGTTACGTTGATGATACATTTGTAATAATTAAGAGAAACGATTTAGAATATACCCATAAATTAATAAACAACTTATTTGAAGACATCAAATACACAAGAGAAGAAGAATGAGATAACAAAATCCCATTTTTAGATGTCTAAATCAGGAGAACCAACACAGGAGATTTAGAGACACAAGTTTATAGAAAATCAACGCACACAGATCAAATACTCAACTATACTAGCAATAATCCAGTTACTCACAAACGAAACTGTGTGCAGACATTGTTTAAAAGAGTTCAGACACATTGTAGCACTCCAGAGTTGAAAAGAATGGAAGAAAAGTACCTACAAACGGTCTTCAAAAAGAATGGTTATCCACAAAATTTCATCAAAAAGTGTTTAAAGTCGAATCAAAACACCAACAAGAAACCATCATCAAAGACCACAAGAAAATTCATTGTACCATACATGAGGAATATCTCTGAAATAACAGGTAGAATACTGAAGCCGTTTGATATAGATATAGCACACAAACCAGTAGAGTCACTTAATTCGATATTATGGAAACCAAAAGATCCAACAGAAAAAGGAGATAAAATTAATGCCATTTACAAAATAAATTGTACGAACTGCAACAACCATTACATCGGCCAAAGTGGGCGTCCCCTTCGAATTAGAATCCAAGAACACAAATCAGCCGTGAAAAGACACAATATGTATTCTTTAGTATCAATGCATATAGAAAATTATGGTCATCAATTTGATTGGGATAATGTCAAAATCTTAGACAGAGGAAGCACCAAAAGTGCCAGAGAATTCCTAGAAGCCTGGTACTCAAACGAAAATGCAATTAACAAACACGTTAATATGGACGAAATACACTAACTAATAAAAAGTAAATCAGGTGACCATGAATTTTAAATCCAAGTCAATAGAAAATGGTCAATACATATGTAAAGATGGTTGTCAGGAGACACAATTATTTCATACATTTGGTTCCCTTGATAAATTTCGATAGAGAAAGAAAGACCAGACTTGCAGTATAAAATGATATCATTCTATCTCACAGGTTCTCATCAGCTGCAAACTACCTGAAATTACAATGGTTATAAAGAATAACATTTCATACTTCATTGTTTGAAAGGTAATAGAGAAAGCATTATAAGATGAAATTTAAATCATTTCACTTTATACTAAATATTGCGCTGAAGATGTTGTCCAGCAGGGGACGACGAAAGCTCCACAACTAAACCAACCAGCTCAGAGAACACTATTAATTGCAAATAATCAACTATCTCTGATGGTGATGTAATTTTAGCAGAATTGTAAAGAAAAGTAGACTGAAATAGGTGTGCATTGATGAGTTTTCAGTTCGCTGTCGCAACTCATGAATGTTAACACATTACTATCGTCAATCCTTTTGGCGTCTACTCGCAGATCGTGTTTGATTACCGACTGTGATGTTTGTGTATCAGGCTTAGATTGGTTACATTTTGATGTCTTTTTGAGTATTTCCGCTCTTTTTTATTAAACTATCGATAGCCTACATCTTCAAGCCTATTGTTTGTCTGTAACGAAGGAAATGCCTCTACCATACAAGAGAATTTTGCTCTGTTGATAGACGTTCATTACAGAAATCTGTTAATGTATGACTGTTAAGGATTATTACTATTATTATCATCAGGATTGTTATTATTATTATTATTACCTTAGTTTCCCAGTGGAACATACAGGTAGGTCTTCAGATTCCGACGTCTTATATTTTTGCTTTCATCGAATGAAGACTCAACGACTGACTTGGCTTTCTGAAGGCTTTCACCAGCTCACATCACTCTGTCTCTCTTATTCCAGCGAGGAATGAGTTTTCTGAAAAATATTATTGTTATACTTTGAAGTTACTGTAGCCACTGAATCGAATTAGTAAACTAGGCGAAGTGTTTCACTCGTATGCGAAAGTGTCAGCTCAACAGTTTCTACTTAGACAAACTAAGAATTATATAGGAAATATAGTTTTAATAGTGGTAATACTCTTTTCACTGTGATTCATTTGAACAAATTACTGCACAAGTTGGTGGTTCAAAGTTTTTGAAGTTATCTACATTTCGCCTTATTATGAATTTAAGAGTAAAGTTATAAAGTACAAAATCTACATCTTTGAACGAATGATGTAGAAATTATCAGAAAGTCAGCTACTCGTTCCGATTTATTGGTAGTATTCTTTGTATATCCTTACAAACTGTACGTAATTATATTTTGGATTGATCATATTACTCCGATGACCAGTTAGTCTGCAGAATAACTGAAATTTGGGGTAAGTGGTTCATCTCCTCAAGGAGTTGATTTTCTGGGGTAGGGTGGCTAGCCCTACGTCCAACGTTTCCTCTTTTTCCTGGCCTGGGACGGGCTGGTAAACTAGGTGACTGATAAGTATGTCATTTCCAAATTTCTCTTTCTGTGCTTCTACCTGGAATAAATAGTCTAGTCACAATGACTTACTGCTGAAAACTGCTTTAGTTTCCAAGCTTTTCAGAAAATTATATTGTAGTCAAAAATACTGTCGTTTTTCTGGAGTACATAGTGGGTGTATCATACTTCGCAGAGGTACTTGAGAAATCTATACCTTTGAATAATCTCAACCGAAATTGTAGTGTTTAGTCTATACTGGTTTGGTAATGAAATTGAGGAGTGGAATTTCTTTCTGTAGTTAAACTCCATTCTTATTTGGTGTAGATTGAAGTAATAATCAAAGTGACTAGAGCACTATATCTTTGCAATTTCGATAGAATAATGAAGTTATGCGTGGTAGAGTTTAAACTATTTCTTGTGCTCAGAACACCATGCAAAAAAAAATTAAAGTCATTCAAAGAATAATAGATTTGTAGTGTGGTTCAATACGTGTTAATCACGTGCTCTAATCTTCAAAAGAGTGTTCACTCAAATGCAGTGACTGAATTAATTACCCATAAAACTGTATAGAGACAGGAAAATGTATGTGTCTTTTATGTGCTCTCAACATTTGTTTTTATAAGTAATTTGTCATTGTATCTTGACATGAAAGTATTACATATTGCTGTGAAATAGAAATCTCTCATATTCTGCTTGTTATATAGCTCTGCTTGTTATCCGAGTTAAATCTAAGAATCAACTATTCGGTTAAATGTAGATGATGTTTGACGCAACTCAGCAAACTACATAAATTTCTTGTATTAGAGTCTATATCATGCCACATACTGTAATGTGGTTATTTATGCTGCTTTATAATTTTATTAGTGGAGTCCTAATCCAGCTTCTAATTAGTATAGAATCGCTAAATCAATAAACCAGTGTTACTTTATCTTCTCCATCTTTCTGTTGTATTGTGTGATTAAGTAATATGTTAACTTCATATTGTATCCGTTGTGTTGTGTGCCCTTCGACAGTCCTCTTGAAAAACTGCAAAATCCTCTACGAAACACCTTTCAAAATCATTTCGTCCACCAGACTTTTTAAGAATATATTGTAATGTTAAATGAATCGTATTTCAAATATCAATCTCATATCTCTCCATCCATACATTACTCCTTGGAATTGTTAACAATAGTAGAAGTTAGCTCAATTTTACAATCTAAACTCAATTACAAGTTATTCACAACTTAGATTCTAAAATTTTGTGATTTCCCTATCAACAAAAAAATACTTTTCCATAGTTTGGTTTGTAAGGATTAGTTATGTTTTACGACTTGATCACGGACTAGCTTGGTTTTCAATGGTTCTCTAACTGATATCAGTCCGTGATCAACTCGTAAAAAAATACTTGTTATCAATTAGATTGTCATATGTCTGATTTCTCACAAACTGGAAGATATGCAAGCGAAAAGCAACAAGTTGGCAGAAGAAGCATCAAAGATAGAACTTCAGGTGAACATAGAGAAAACAGAGGTGATGAAGATTCCTGGGCAGCACCAACAGCAATAACAACAACAACAGACAACAATAAGCATAAATGGAAGGAATCGGAAAGAAACAACCTCCTTTACCTACCTGGGAAGCATCGTTTCAACTACAGGCGGAACTGACGGGGATATCATAGGAAGAATCGGAAAAGCAAGACAAGCTTTCATTACTCTCAAGTCTGTGTGGAGGTCAACAGCACTCAGCATCAAAAATAACATCCGGATTTTCAACTCCAATGTGAAGTCAGTGCTACTTAACATACGGATCAGAGACTTGCACTGCGCGTCATAAAGAGCATCTCAAACAAACTACAAACCTTCATTAACAGTTGTCTTCGCTCAATACTACTCAAGATCAGATTGCCAGAAAAGATCAGCAACCGGGATCTTTGGGAACGAACCAACCAGGAACCGATTGTGAAACAAATAGGCAGGAAGAAATGGAGATGGATTGGCCATACTCTGAGGAAACAATCCATCAAGTGACATCACTAGACAAGCTCTGGAGTGGGACCCGAAAGGGAAACGGCGAGTTGGTCGTCAGTGCAAGGGTGACTTGGAGGAGGTCATGTGAAGAGGAGATGAAAACGTGTGGGCAGACTTGGAGCCAGGTGAAGACTCTAGCAGAGAACCGAAAGCAA